ACGAGGGACCACGTTCATCTAAAGGGACCACACCGAAGATTTTGCAAATAGTTAGAACATAAACACACTTTTTAGCCAGAAACCATACTGAGAAAACCAATTTGAACTGAGGGAAAAAGTCTGTGTAAAATCAACACTGTTCTACTTTTAACCTCTGAAGATGAATGAATTTAACTTTGCCGTGGAATATGTATTCTACTTTATTTATGGTACAGGGTGTCCCACAAAGGTACAGGGTGTCCCACGAAGTTACAGGGTGTCCAGCGAAGGTACATGGTGTCTCATCACGAAGGTAGAAGGTGTCCCACGAAGGTACAGGTTGTCCCACGAAGGTACAGGGTGTCCCACGTAGGTACATGGAGTCCCACGAAGGTACAGGGTGTCCCATGAAGGTACAGAGTGTCCTACGTAGGTACAAGGTGTCCCACGTAGGTACAGGGTGTCCCATGAAGGTACAGGGTGTCCCACGAAACTGACAGTTAAGAGACGACTTACAGGTAGTCTTTTATCTTTAGAATAATTTGCGGCATTCGTTCATGAACCAATCTAGAAGTAGACTTCTCGAATGAATTATCCTAAAATTGCTTAGCCTTTGCAATTCGAAAATGTGGTCTGTCTTTTGTGCTTTCAAAATTACCGGAGATAGGAAATATTTTATTTTAATTTCGACAAAGATCAAAGACGATATCTTCAAGTCGTCTTCAATTGTCATGTCTTGTGGGTCACCCTGTAATAAAAATAAGTTAAAAATTATACTTGAAAAGGGATTGTAACCGTTAGTTTAAGTCACCCTCGCATTGTTAAAGAGGAATTATGTTTACGAAATCATGAGGATATTGTAGCAGCAATAATTCACACTTAACTTACTTTAGCAATAGCAGCAATAATTCACACTTAACTTACTTTTCTGGAATGAGACAAATTTCGTTCTCGAAAACAAGATTTTATTTTTTTAAATTTTGCACCATTTTTTTATAGCTGATGCAACTCTACTGATAAAGATTCATTTAAAAACTAAAGAAAACTGTTTAATTTGTCAAATTGAGATTGAAATTGACAACTTTACGGGACTATGAGAGTTAACTTAGCGGAAAACATAATTTGAAAAATATTCGATAAAGAAACTGCTTTATTGCCTCAAACTCAAATTTTCTAATCCCAACTTAAATCTAAATTAAAATTTAAATTTAATTTGTGGCAAGATTTCTAAATTCCTTGGAGTAAAAGTATTGAAAATATTTAAATTTATTATCAATAAACACAGATCTAAACTAGCTAAAGCTAATGCTGGTATTTCCCTATTCACTCCGGTACCCGTAGTTCCTTTATCTGATCAATATTGTGGAATATATTGTCGTTTTTCTAGGGTTAAAAGTGTTCAACTCGGAGGATTCCTAAATTTTTTAGAAATCTTGTCTTTTGAAATTAAAAATAAAGGAAAATAATTCAATACTTGATCAGCCTAAGCTTTGAATGGTGCCGTTGTGAATCGGTCAATGCCATCTTTGCATGAAGGGTCACTTGAAAATAAAATCACAATCCCTTGAAATGAAAAAATATTTAATTCTTAAAATATATTCCTCCGTTTATAAGATTTCGTGATAAACTTTTCAAGAGACATTAACGTGAAACAGACAAGTATCGTAGAGTAGATTTGTTTTAAAACTACTTTAAAAAAGGCGAAACAAGTCAAATGAGAATGAAAACTTTGCATAAAACGACCTACTGCGTTAAAACGATTAACATAAGTTGTAAACTATCCAAATGTTTACTAGAAACCAGGGAAGCAAATGTAACATTTATTATTCTTGTTTCATCTCTCTTTATAAGTACATATTTCTGTTTGGCCGGCTAATGATAACATACATATTAACACACTTGAACACAAACCTATACTATACTAACACCCCTATTTGATGGATTAATGTTATAAAATTAAGATTTACATGAAATCATTATTAAGAAAATGAAAAAATGATGAAAAATTTAGACAAGGAAAGAAGAGAAAGAAAAAGAAGAAAAAGTAAACATGATATAAACCGCAAGAAAGGAGGTAAAAATAGTATTAAAAAACGAAAATCCGAATAATTCTAAAAATAAAAAGGGAAACGAAAAAGCGTACGAGAAGGGGGAACCTTTACACTTCAAGACCATTTGACACAAATAATTCTTGCAAGTCACGGTTTGTTGATTCTTGATTTCTCCAGCAGGTAGTTTACACTAGTATAGGATTCTCTAGTAGTATTCAACAGCTTGGAATTAGTGGAACATTTACTTTATTCAACAGTGGAGAGTATATACTCTAGTAGTATTCAACAGCTTGGAATTAGTGGAACATTTGGTTGATTTTAATATACTCTAGTAGCTTTCAACGACAACAACTTGGAATAAATGGAACACTTAGTTAATTCCTTTCTAGTAGAGAGTTAAAGATACTTGCAGTAGATACCAGGAACTAATATGATCTACTAGCATTCAAGAACTTGGAATAAATTGAACATTTAGTAAATTCCTTTCTAGTAGAGAGTAAAAGATATTTGCAGTAGATACCAGGAACTAAGATGATCTAGTAGCATTCAAGAACTTGGAGTTAGTGGAACATTTAGTAAATTCCACGCTAGTCGTATAAAGTTTGGAATACTCTTATAGGAACCAGGAATTAGGATACTTTAGTAGAAACCAGGAACTGGGATACTCCAGTAGAAACCAGGAACTGGGATACTGTAGTAGGAACCAGGAACTAGGATACTCTACTAGGAACCAGGAACTAGGATACTCAGTAGGAACCAGGAACTAGGATACTCTAGTAGGAACCAGGAACTAGGATACTCTAGTAGGAAGAGGAACCAAGAACTAAAGCATACTCCAGTAGGAACCAGGAACTGGGATACTCTAGTAGGAACCAGGAACTAGTATACTTTAGTAAGAACAGGTTTATGTGTAATATGTTAAATGTTTCTTCAATCAAATAGTTTTATTTCAGAATTTTATTTGAATAAAAATGAAGGGACTGGACAAAGTACTAAAGGTATTAATATTAATTTTTTATTAATAATTACAAGTTGCAATATAAAAATTGTATATATGAATTATTAGAAAAATAAATTCAGCTATATATCAGTGTAAACCTTTATACATTGATATATTTTTTTTCTCCTGTTAATTACATTTATTCGTCTTTTTGTATTTACATTTTTCAAAATACATTATACGTACATGGCACGTTAATTATTTTTACATGTACGATCGTTTTTCAAAAAATGAAAACGTTAACATCCCTAGTGGTAAGCGATTATATCAATACAAAGAAGACGACTTTTGATTCCAAATTTGATTTAAATCACGCTGTTAAACAGCTTGGATACATATGAACATATAAACAAAGATAATTTGTAGATTTAAAAAGCTTCTCTTTAATTACTTGTAAACTTGAAATTCGAAAAAAGCTTGTTAACATTCAAGACTTAGATAAAAAGTCGTCTTCATTGTATTGATATAATCGCCTAACACTGTATTTAGTATTGATTTTATTTGAAGTAATATTACTTTTGGACATTTTTAATATCCTAAAAATGACAAGAACGATGTTTCTGCCACGTATCGAACACTAGGTTACTGGCCTATAAAATCACATAGTCATTCCGCTACCTGCCAATTGCCATAAGAATTTAAATTTTCTAAAAATTTCAAACGTACTTCTCTAGATTCATATTTTCTTATAACAGCTTTATCTCAGCTGATGTTTGATGATATTAGTAATTACAGTCGTAACATCTGTATCCGCTGTTATAAGCTCTGAGAAGGAAATATGTTTTACAACTGATAGGAATGGCTGATTACAGCTGATTACAGCTGATTACTTAAAGGGATTGTCGACGTTATTTGAAGAGAACCCTCATTTACATAGGGGCATGTCCGATTTACAACGAGTGAGGAAGAAATCGTCGTTTTTCCTGCCTCAAGGCAAAATTCAATCACTTGATGCATAGCATTAATCCTTAATACAAGCTAGTGATATTATATAGAATTGAACAAAACAAAAAAGATATTTTTTAATTTTAAATGCAGTGCATATACCAAACAAGTTAGAAGATTCTAATATGCATACGCTTAAGAACTCGTTGAACCTAATTATACAAATATTTTTTACCTTTAAAATTTGAACCTTTATTTGTACCCAAGGATATCGGAAATTTATCCCTTGAAGCTCGGAGGTTTATCCTCGTTCTCCTCGGCCTTGTTGCTTTCGTCGCTATTCTCTACGGACGAGAGTCCCACCATTGGTACGAATGATTTATTTTAAAAATACATGGCGTTTTCGCTCATTTTCTAGTACTAATCCATATATTTATTAGTTTTTAACTTTGAATCAGTATTTAGGGGCACACCTTTGAAGTAATTTAACGATCGCCTGAGATTATAGTTTTTTAGTTCTTATATCTTTGCAACCTATAGAGTGCTAGCCTTTTATATTTTGAATTTTGACTTTTTGATTTATTAGAATTTATTGTATTAGGTATTCAGTTTCATTTGACTCTTTAAATAAAGTAAATTTTGTCAGTTAAAACATATCACTAAAAACTAAATATTGGTGATTTTTGATTATTAAACATTTTCTAAAGTTGAATTCTATGTTTAGGATGACATCTTTTTAAATAATGTAGAATAGAATTATTGTCACTTTTACGGAATTCAAAATTAGGAATATTTGAAAATATTATTTGATGATATCTTTGTTACAAGGGAAGCTGATATAGAAGTCCCTCCTCCTAAGCTGAAGCTGAAGGAGGTGATGAGCGCCATGTTGGATGTAGTGGAGAGAGGAGGGATGGAGGTAGTCAGAGTCAGGTGAGTGTTATACTGGATATAGTAGAGAGAGGTGGGAGAGAGGTAGTCAGAGTCAGGTGAGTGTTATACTGGATATAGTAGAGAGAGGTGGGAGAGAGGTAGTCAGAGTCTGGTGTAAATTCCATGAAATTGTCTTTGAAGTCTCATCCTTTGTGGGTAACCCTGTAATAAAAAAGCCCATTTTGAGAATTGTTTTTTTCTTTCGAAAAATAGTCATCTAGTAAACTGATGTATTGAATAATGTCTGTCTTGTAAATTAATGTCATTGAATAACATCCGTATTGTAACCCGATAATTAAAAATTCTAAACTACACTTATAGTTTCAGTACAAGTAAATATTTCCATTTACTGAAATAGCGGCGATATAAGGATTCATCTATTATTGGATAATGAGCTAGATAGAAAGAACCAAGCAATTTCTATTGGTTCAGAATAGCAACAAACACATGGCTGAACCCTGATTGGATCAGGTGCTAATGTACTCGGCATGCTAGAGTGACTAATGATTTAAAAATATCCATCTTGTAAATTTTTGATAAAAATGTCCGTCTTGTAAAGTAATGTTTTTGATCAGGCAGCAGCATGATATAGGAGAGAAGAGCAAGGGTAAAACAAAGGATGGTGTCAATGATCCTGTAACAGAAGGAGATATGGCATCTCACAGGTACATTTCAGACATACAACAAGGACCAATAACATTGTGGAATAGGAGTAGTTAGAATAAACATATGATTTTAAATAGCTTGATAATCATGAAATACAGAAATTGTGCAGTGTACACAGACCAATTTTGTTTATTAAGTTGATTTTTAAGATAGTGGTGTACAGGGTGTCTCTATAAACCATGGGAATTAAGACACAGCTTAAAAGTCGTTTTTTATTTCTGATATCTAATGCGTAGCACAGAAGGGAAATAAACGAGGCTGTTCGTCTGACGAACTTCTTATAAAGTGTTCTACCTTCATTGAAACTTAAAAATTGACGAAGATATTAAAATTTGTTCAAATCTTGCCATTTCTCCGTCAATTTTGAAAATACAAAAATGGTAGACCACATTTTGAAAATCTCAAGACCAGACGTTTTCGATATAAGATGGAATACTGCAATAATTTTGTACATGAGAAAATGCCGCATGGATTGAAGACGACATACAAGTCGTCACTGAATCCCCTGTTTATTGGGACACTCTGTAGTTAAACTATTTTCTTAAAACAACGTCAGTCTTGGATAATTTTTAGACGAGGAATCACGTCAAACTAAAGTAAATTACACTTACGAGGGATTATGGCATCTCACAGGTACATTTCAGGCATACAACAAGGACCAATAACATTGTGGAATAGGAGTAGTTAGAATAAACATATGATTTTAAATAGCTTTATAACCATGAAATACAGAAATTGTGCAGTGTACACAGAACCCATTTTGTTTAATAAGTTGATTTTTAAACTAGTGGTGTACAGGGTGTCCCAATAAACATGGGAATTAATCGACGACTTGAAAGTTGTCTTTTATTTCTGAAAAAGTAGGCTGTAACGTCTAGTTGACCACTTCTCATAAAGTGTTCTACCTTTTTTGTAACTTAAAAACTGACGAAGATATTAGATATTAAGACAATTTTAATTTTAAAGATAAATTAAAATTTGTACAAAGCTTGCCATTTCTCCGTCAATTTTGAAAATACAAAAATGGTAGGCCACATTTTGAAAATCTCAAGACCAGGCGTTTTCGATATTAGATGTTTAAGCTGGAATACTGCAATAATTTTGTACATGAGAAAATGCCGCATGGATTGAAGACAACATACAAGTCGTCACTGAATTCCCATGTTTATTGGGACACCCTGTAGTAAAACTATTTTGTCAAAACAACGTCAGTTTTAAATAAATGTTTGGCTTCTTAGACGAGGGATCACGTTAAACTAAAGTAAATTACGCTGACGAGGGATCACGTTAAACTAAAGTAAACTACGCTGACGAGGGATCATGTTAAACTAGAGTAAATTACGCTGACAAGGGATCACGTTAAACTAAAGTAAATTACGCTGACAAGGGATCATGTTAAACTAAAGTAAATTACGCTGACGAGGGATCATGTTAAACTAAAGTATATTACGCTGAAGAGGGATCACGTTAAACTGAAGTAAATATAACTCCTCTCATTGAAGATTTATTTAAAATAAACCAAAATGTTTTGAATTTGTATTAACCGATATAATTTTATATTTGGTAAAATTTTATTTTATATTGTATATAATTGAGAGTAAATTAACTATTCTGTTAAGAATAATGTTCCATGGTTTGAAAAGAGCATTCCCCAACGTTGCTGTGGTCTCTGAAGAACGCGAGGATAATGAAGGGCATGCTGAGATGCCAAACCTAAATATCGAGGTATACACGTGACATACCAACAAGACGTCAGTCATTCCCCATTTTTCACTGTATCTAACTTTTTAGGAGTTTCATGTTATTGGCGAAGAAATCAGAGAAGATAGGTTAACCATTTGGTTAGATCCTCTTGATGCTACACAAGAATATACAGAAGGTAGGGGTGTAAATATATTGTATTCTTTACTGTATACTGTATACCTACAGAAGGTAATGGTGTATATTGTGTTATGTATACTGTATCGTGTATATCCTTGATACGAACTACGCAGAAGGTAGGGGTGTATACATATTGTATACTATACTGTATGTATAGTGTATACCCACAGAAGGTGTATATTGTTTTAAGTATACTGCATACTAACTACACAGAAGGTAGGGGTGTATATTGTATAGTATACTGTATAGTGTATACCCTTGATACTAATTACACAGAAGGTAGGAGTGTACATTGTATAGAATATTGTATAGTGTATACCCTTGATACTAATTACACAGAAGGTAGGGGTGTATATTGTATAGTATACTGTATAGTGTATACCCTTGATACTAATTACACTAGAAAGAAAGAAAGAAAGAAAGAAATAAATAAAGAAAGATAGAAAGTAAGATATACCTGCATAAAGTGCATAATGCATGCCCTAGTTTATTATGGTTGATGTACGAGTCATTGTTATTATTTTGTTTATAAACATTGTTCTGCAACAACACATTCAGTTCCCTCAGTCTGACCATAGACTAAAAATATCACAGAGAACAATTTGTCAAGCGCTGGGAACTTTTGCAGTGCGACCTCAAGACTTTGTTAATCTGCAGATTAATTTATTCTATATTCGATATCCCGCATGGTAATCGTACGTACCCAGTCAAGGTTTGAAGGGAGTTTTGATTTTGTGAGGAATAACTGAATTGACGAGATTAACCATTGATCCTCAAATTAAAAGTGCCAACTGTGGATATCAAGATCAATCATTCGGGATTATGAGTATCCAACACAATAGTTCCGAGCTAAGAAGTACAAAGACCTCCTTATTAATAAAAACACAAGAAATTTTGGTTGTTAAATTTTTTTCTATTTTGTCTATGTTTGAATTTCTTGTATAGGTCGACTCATTGAATATAATAGTATATCCGTAGCAGGCTAATGTTAGATACAACCTGTGCATCACGCCTTTGGGACATATCATGTTACTGGACTCTATTAGGTAATAACAATGTTGGCAATAATAAGAATAATAATACTACAATCCTAATAATTATAATAATGACCAGAATTGCCTCATTTTTAGTAGAATGACTTTTATACTGTAATGCTAATATTAATAATAGATTAATAATTTCAATTCTACAGGGTGTTTAAAAAAGGATTTTAGTGATTTTGGAAATTTTTTTACTGCATCTTAAGTTTGGAAGTTTGGATTCAAGGATATTACTTTAGCTCTGGAGGGGTCTTCTTTATTTTTGAAGTTTATATAAAACTAGGTAAAGTGCCCGGCGTTAACCAGGTTACAAATAGTTACTCACGCCTTTACCTGCACTTGGTCATTAATTACGATTTTAGCTATTATCTTAAAGTCGACCAACTTCATTTAGATTCTCAAAGCAAAGAACATTTCCGAGATTTTCCTGAGTTCCACAATCTAAATTTGAGACAAATTCCTGAGTTAAGATAGGACAATCAAACAAAGATATATATATATGTAAAAGATATTCTTCCAAATTAAAATTAGGCACTGAACCTCAAATTTGAGACATCAAATGCATCAAATAGAGTTCAAACTCCAAATAACTTTTTTTATGTGACACCCTTTCTAAATGTTATAGACACCACACAGATGAACACTTGAAGTTTATCGTCTCCAGAGCACACACCGGGAACCTGAAGGAACAGTTGGCGAAGTACCTTACCCCCACCCCCACCCTCACCTACGCCGGGGGAGCAGGATACAAAATCTGGGAGATCATTAGCGGCGATCATGACGTTTATGTCCATAAACATCAGATCAAGAAATGGGATATCTGCGCCGGTGCGGCCTTACTAAACACGGCGAATGGGCGCATAACAGACTTGCTGGGGAAGGATATCAAGTTCGACAACGTGTTCGACTACAAGGTAGAGGATGGACTGGTAGTCTCCATGTATGAGCACAATCATCTGGTTAAAGCACTAAAGAAAATGCTTGAATGATTCAAACTGTAAACCTCTAATAAATTATAGCAACTAGTTTTATAACTTGTCCAAATAAAACGAACAATATTACTTAAAAGGTAAAAAAACAGATGTGAAACAAAGATAGAGAGAAAAATGATAATATTATTATTTAGAAAGAAAACGCTTGAAAAAGTATAATATTCTAATCAGAACAGAAGAGATTAAAAAGAAAATAAAGCAATTTAAGAGCCTGGATTTAAAGACCTAAGAATTTAACATCTTCATCCGATATCTATATAATAAAGCTCTTGACTCATATATTTATTTTTATAATTCATATTTCAAATTATATATGATTGTATATATATGTTAGCTATAACTGGCCAAATGGCTGGACCAAGTTCGCTGCATTTTTTTAGGGAACCCATTGGGCAAGAGAAGGTTGCAAGAAAGAGTGAAATAGTGAAAGAAAAATTAAAAGAAATGTTTTTATAAAGATATGAAGATAGAATGAAAGAAAGAAAAAAGATCGAAAAAATTTGAAACAAAGATAAAAAGAAAGATAGAAAGAAAGATAAAAAGAAAGAAAGAAAGAAAGAAAGATAGAAAGATAGATAGAAAGAAAGATAGAGAGATAGAAAGATAGAAAGAAAGATAGAAAGAAAGAAAGATAGAAAGAAAGAAAGAAAGAAAGATAGAAAGATAGATAGAAAGAAAGATAGAGAGATAGAAAGATAGAAAGAAAGATAGAAAGATAGAAAGAAAGAAAGATAGAAAGAAAGAAAGATAAAAATAAAGAAAGAAAGATAGAAAGATAGAAAGATATAAAAAAGATAGAAAGATAGAAAATTAGGAAGAAAGAAAGATACAAAGATAGAAAGAAAGAAAGAAAGAAAGAAAGAAAGAAAGATAGAAAGAAAGAAAGAAAGATAGAAAGAAAGAAAGAAAGAAAGAAAGAAAGAAAGAAAGAAAGAAAGAAAGAAAGAAAGAA